GCTGCAGCTGTGGAGCGGCTTTTTTTTTTTCTTTTTTCTTTTCTTCTTTCTCAACCAAGACCCTAGCCTGCCGCGGCCCTGAATGCAAGGAAAGAGCTTCTCGTGCTTGGTCCTCGTCACTTTACTGCCACCACTCTCTGCACTGCATTCTAGTCGGGATTGCAGAGCTCCTTTCCCTTTTATCCCTTTCCTCCCTTTCCTCCCTACATTTCCCTCCCTCCTTCGTTCCCGACAACAAAACAACGCTAGACAGCATGGCTCGAGGAGGAAACCGCGGAGGCGGTCGTGGTGGCGGAGGTCGAGGTCGTGGTCGCGGCGGAGGAGGTCGTGGTCGTGGAGGTGGCCGAGGTGGCGGAGGACGTGGAGGAGGCCACAACGGTGCACCCAGGCAGTCGTACAGTCACGGCGACCAGAAGAACGCCCGTCTCGAGGCCTACTACATCGACCAGGGCATCCTCGACCCTTCCGAATGGGCCACCTTCATGGACTACCTCCGCACGCCCCTCCCCACCACCTTCCGCCTCACCGCAGGCAAGGAGACCACCCCGCAGCTCCTCAAGGCGCTCCAGGACATCTACATCCCCTTCCTCTCCAACGTCACCTTCGACGGCGAAAAGGTAGACCCACCCAAGCAGCTGCCCTGGTACCCCGACGGCCTCGGATGGCACCTCAACACAAAGAAGACCGTCATCCGCAAGTCGCCCGAGTTCAAGCGCTTCCACCAGTTCCTCGTACACGAGACCGACGTCGGCTCCATCAGCCGTCAGGAGGCCGTCTCCATGCTCCCGCCCCTCTTCCTCGACGTGCAGCCTCACCACCTCGTCCTCGACATGTGCGCCGCCCCCGGATCCAAGACCGCACAGCTCATCGAGTCGCTCCACTCGCCCTTCATCTCGGGCCCCAGCACCTACAACCCCATGCCCACCGGTCTCGTCATCGCCAACGACTCCGACACAAAGCGCGCCCATATGCTCGTCCACCAGTCCCAGCGCCTCCCCTCGCCCAACCTTCTGGTCACCAACCTCGATGCGTCCAACTACCAGTCCATCCAGGTCCCCTACAAGAGCGCCGACGAGGGTGCCGAGGTCGTCCAGACCGCCATGCAGTACGACCGCATCCTGGCCGACGTCCCCTGCTCTGGTGACGGCACCATCCGCAAGAACGTCCCCATCTGGAAGGAGTGGACGCCCAACAACGCTGTCGGTCTCCATGCGCTCCAGCTCAAGATCCTCATCCGCGGCCTCAACCAGCTCCGCGACGGCGGTCGTCTCGTCTACTCGACGTGCTCCATGAACCCCATCGAGAACGAGTCGGTCGTCGCAGAGGCCCTCCGTCGCTTCGAGGGCAAGGTGCGCATCGTCGACTGCAGCTCGCGTCTGCCCGAGCTCGTGCGCCGCCCTGGTCTCACCACCTGGAGGGCCGCTCCCGGTCGTGGCGCACACCTCTTTGGCAAGTCCAAGTACGCAAAGCAGAAGGCGGCCAAGTCCGCTGCCGCCGATGCCGCCGCTGCGGACGGCGAGGGCGACATTGTCGATGCCGACATGAAGGATGCCGAGGGCGAAGTGGACGAGGCCATCGTCGACGTCGAGGACGCCGAGAACGAAGCTGCCAACGGTGGCGCTCCCGCTGCACCGGAGCCCGAGATCGGCTCGGCAGAGTACCGCGACCGTCTGCCCGAGATCGCCTGGATTGACAACTGGGACCAGCTCAACGAGCTCGATGCCGACCTCGCCTCGCGCACGCCCAAGTCCATCTGGCCTCAGGGCGACGAGGAGCAGCTCGGCACCCAGCACTGCATGCGCCTCTACCCGCACCTCCAGGACACCGGCGGCTTCTTCGTCGCCCTCCTCGAGAAGGTCGGCAACCCGGACGACGAGGGTATGGCTGCCGGCATGATCCGCGCCATGGACCACCTCGACGCCCACCGACCTGACGGCGAGTCGCTCACCAACGCCATCAAGCGCGAGCTCTCGCCCGAGGCCGGCGCAGAGGGTGCCCAGCCAGCCGCCAAGAAGCTCAAGGACGACGATGGCTCCGGTGTCTCGACGCCTGTCGATGTTTCCACAGCCGATGCCACCGAGGCAGTTTCGGGCGACAGCGTCAAGGAGGACAAGCATGCTGCGGACCGCGCGCGCAAGGCGGCACAGCAGAANCCTGTCGATGTTTCCACAGCCGATGCCACCGAGGCAGTTTCGGGCGACAGCGTCAAGGAGGACAAGCATGCTGCGGACCGCGCGCGCAAGGCGGCACAGCAGAAGGCGGTCGCCGATGGCCACGGTGTTCCGGGCGGTCTGCCTTACAAGGAGGATCCGTTTGCATACATCCCTCCCTCCAACGATCAGGTGCAGGCGTGCAAGAAGTTCTTTGACCTCAAGGACACGTTCCCGCTGCGCAACCTGCTGGTGCGCAACGAGGACCACCAGCCTCTGCGATCCGTCTACCTCACCTCGACCACCGCGCGTGCCGTCATCACCGGCGGCGGTCCCGGCCGCGGCAACCACCCACACATGAACCCCATCACGCTCCGACTCATCAACTGCGGCATCAAGAGTCTCGGTCGCCAGGACGCCGGCCGCGACGGCACGCTCGAGTGCAAGTGGAGGATCATCTCGGACGGTCTCCTGTCCATCCGCCCGCACATCGAGGAGCGCGCCGTGCTCAAGGCGCAGCTCAAGGACCTCGCCTTCCTGATCGCCGGCCACTACCCCATCCTCGACAACGTGCCTGGCGAGTTCGGCGAGCTGCTCAAGAGCAAGAAGATGGGCAGCTACGTGATCGATGTGCTGCCCTCCGAGCACGAGGGCAGGAAGCTCGACTACAAGCTCAGCTTCCCCATCTGGAGGGCCGTCAACAGCGTCAACCTCATGCTCGACAAGCAGGAGAAGAGGTAAGTTGTGCGCCCGATTGCCGAATTCCGAACATTTGAGAGGCGGCGCGAACTGACCATGTCACAAAAATTTTCCCCCTCTTTTCATGCTTCCACAGCGCGCTTTCGTTCCGCATCTTTGACACGGATCTTTCGAGTGCAGACGGTGGACGACAGTTCTCGTCGCAGCCATCCAAGAAAGCGACCAAGGCAGCCAAGGACGCCGAGATGCAGCAATCGGATGCCGAGGATGCCGCGCGTGCGGCTCTGGCCAGCGCCAACGCTTCCACCGCCCCCGCAGTCAAGGTCGAGCTGGCCGCATACCAGTCCGAGTACATTCAGCTTGCGCTCGACAGCGCCATCCTCAAGTTCGACGGACCGTACACGCTCAAATCGGGCCGATTGAGTCCGTACTTCTTCAATGCCGGCCTGTTCAACACGGGTGCCAAGGTTGCCAAGGTGGCCGAGTGTTATGCCAAGCGTATTGTCGAGTCGGGCGTCAAGTTCGATGTGCTGTTTGGTCCTGCCTACAAGGGAATCCCTCTTGCTGCTGCTACGGCCATGGCGCTGCAGCTGAACCACGGTATTGATGTGGGATTCTGCTTCAACAGGAAGGAAGCCAAGACGCATGGGGAGGGTGGATCGCTCGTCGGCGCCGAACTCAAGGGCCGTGTGCTCATCCTCGACGACGTCATCACCGCAGGCACTGCCATCAACGAGGCCATGGACATCCTGGCTTCCCAACCAGCGGCTGAATTGGCCGGTGTGGTCATTGCGCTGGACCGCCAGGAAAAATCGCAGAAGGACGGTGTTCCCGGTACCACTTCGGCCATCACCGAGGTCGAGAAGAGGTACAACACCACCGTCTTCTCCGTCGTCACCCTCGACCAGATCATCGAATTCATGAACCGCGACAAGGAGCAGTACGGGGAAAAGATCGCTCAGATGGTCGCTTACCGAGCACAGTACGGAACCTCGCATCTCGCAAAGTCGTCATAATCCCCTCCCACAACTTTCTTAAAGGCCCCAAACGCCTGCTTGTACAAAACACTCTCGCCTCGCAACCTCGTCCTTTTTAGAGTCTTCTCATCTCGTCCAGGTTTTGAGTTTCGATCGCTGCAGCTCAATGTGAATCTCGTTCCGGATCGAAAGCAGACGCAGAGTCGACTTTGCAAAGGCATCTGGCATTGCATCATTCTACCGCTGCGCGAGGCTCACTTTGCGTTCTTCTTGGGTTTGGCTGCTGGTGGCGCTGGCGTCTTCTTGTCGTCCTTCTTGGCATCCTCCTTGAGACTGACGATGCGGTTGAGCACAATCGAGCCGCCGGGCGCCTTGTCTCCGAACAGGCCCAGATCGCCGCTGAGACGGTCGAGTGCAAAGTAGGCGGTGCGCATGCCCTGGAAGCGAACGAGCTCTTTGCCCACGAGCTGCTCGGCGGTGCGCGCGGGGGCGCCGGCACCGGCCTCCTTGACCTCGGGCGTCTGCGTCTCGCTCTGCGCCTTGGCGGCGTCCGCCTCGGCCTTGTTGGTGCGCTCGGCCGCCTCGATGCGCGCCTGCTCGATGCTGCGCTTGGCCACGTCCCAGAAGCCCACCTCGACCATGGCGCCACGCACAATCTCGAGCGAATCCGGATTGACGTGCTCCAGGAAGTTGTCCTCGGCTGCCGGGTCGTCCGAGGTGAAGAGCTGGAGGAAGATGCGCGTCTCGTCCACCTTGACCGGGCTGTTGGACGGCGCGTGCTCGGCAACCCACTGGATGTACGTCTTGGGCTTGGGCGTGCTCGCGTCGCCGTACGTTGCAATCACCTCGATGGGCTCGCCCTTGTCGTTGGTCTTGAACGACGTGGCGGTGATGGGGAAGGGCACCTGGAGCAGACCCACGGTCTTGCCCGGCGCGAGGCGGAAGTAGTCCTTGCTGTCCTCGGTGCGGAAGTCCGAGGCGTCGATGTAGACGGTGCGCGTGAAGGGCATCTTGTTGGTGCCCATCTCGGGCGCCTTGGGATGCAGCGGCTTCTCGAGCTGCTCGTAGTGGTCCTCGGGCAGATTCTCGATGGTCACCTTGAGCGGGTTGAGCACCATCATGAGGCGTGGCGTCGAGAACTCGAGGTACTGACGAACCGCCTGATCGAAGCGGCTGATCTGGATGGTGGACTTGGCGGTGGTGACGCCGAGCGCGCTGACGAACGAGAGGATGGCGCCTGGCGGCACACCGCGGCGGCGGAGGGCGATGAGCGTGAACATGCGCGGGTCGTCCCAGTCCTCGATGTAGCGCTCCTTGACGAGCTTGAGGATCTTGCGCTTGGACATGACGGTGCCCTGGAGCGCCAGACGGCCGTACTCGGACTGGCGCGGCTTGTACACCTCGAGTGCGTCGCAGAGCCACTCGTACGACTCGCGCGAGAGGATGAATTCGGTGGTGCAGAGCGAATGGCTGATGTTTTCGAAGCTATCGACAAGACAGTGGGTAAAGTCGTAGGTCGGGTAGATGCACCAGTCCTTGCCCGTGCGGTGATGCGAGGCCTCGAGCACACGGTAGGCGATGAGGTCCCACATCTGCGGGTTGCCGTTCTCGATGTCCTGCTTCATGCGGAGCGTGACCTTGCCGGGCGGGTATTTGCCGTTCTTCATGTCCTCAAAATCCTGGAGCGACTCCTCGATGGGACGGTCGCGGAAGCGCGAGGGCTTGCGGGGGCCGCGCTCGGGACCGCCGCGCTGCTCCTTGATCTCTTCTGGCGTCGAGTGGTCGACGTAGGCCTTTCCGCGCTTGATAAGCTCGACGGCGAGCTCGTAGAGCCTCTGGAAGTAGTCGCTCGAGTAGGTGACCCTGAAGGGTTCGAAGCCGAGCCAACGGACGGTTTCGAGGATGCTGGTAAAGTACTTTTCCTCCTCGGCTTCGGGGTTGGTGTCGTCGTAGCGGAGGTAGCAGAGGCCGCCGTGGTGACGGGCAAAGCCAAAGTTGACGGCGATGGCCTTGCTGTGACCGATGTGGAGGAATCCGTTGGGTTCTGGTGGGAATCGCGTCATGACCATGCCCTTTGTGGCTGCGAGGTGCTGCTGTTTGAGTTCGGGCTTGATCTGAGGATTCTCGCCGGGCTTGTGGAGGTTGGCGAGGAAGCCCTCCTTGAACATGGCGTCTGGGTCGACGGGGCCGGTGGGTGCCGCCTCCCTTTTGGCATCGGCTGCAGATGCTGCGGCGGGCTTCTTCTTTTCCTTTGGTGGTGCGGCCTTCTTGGGACCGTATGTGGCGAGGAGCACTGCGTCTACGGCGCCCTTGACGTCGACGGCGCTCGCCCAGCGCATTTCAGGTGTGGCCTTGACGCCTGCCAGGATGGAACCGAGCTTTGGCCACCCTTCGACAGGGTCGAGCTCGGCTCTGTGAGATGCGACGTATGCTTCCACCGCGGAGCGACATTGGTCTGGGGTCACGACGACGCCTGTTGCCGGAATGCAGAGATGCGTTGTACGAAGAGTGTCAGCATCGAACTACGTTTAGACAAGATGAGTGCCGACATTGAGCAGTAGCGATATGTGGTCAGAAAGAATAGAAACTGCATGCCATGGGGAGACGAGTCTCCCATCGGCTCTAATACATGCGTTTTGGTTTTTTGTATCTCATCTTGCAAGACTGCTGCTGCAACGTGGCGAGGGTGCGACAACTTACCGACACCGCATTCCGCATCGAAGGCGGCCTTGTCTGGCTGGCCGGTGGTGTTGGCGAGGAACTTGTAGGCGGCATTGAGCTGGTCGGAGGAGGCGAGGCTGCCGTCGAGGATGCGCGAGACGACATAGTCTCTGCTGGACTTGTTGGAGGCGTCCTTGCCCGTGGATGCGGAGACGATGAGCGCCGAGGCCTTTGGATCGATCGACTTGGAGGTGAGCTGGTTGTCTGTGATGACGCTTTCGAGGGCGGCGGTGTGTTTTGGATTTGTGAGGGTCTCGATGGCTCTGTTTCCGCTCAGGTTGAGGGATTCGAAGAGCTTGAGAAGCCTCGCATTCTCTGGGTCGTTGACGTCGACCTTTGGCGGCATGGTTGGCGTAGATGTGGAGAGAGGGAAGGAGTTGAGGAGGGAAGAAGGTGTGTTGTACCCGATGTCGATCCAACCGAGGCTGAGGCGTGGCCAACCTGCAATTTTTGAGCAAGAATCGCAGGTCCGACTGATTGGCTGGCTCGAGCTCGACGGGAGCCCGATCGCGTGCGTGCGTGTGTGCATCTGGCTCTGCGCAGGAATTTGGTTTTTGGAGACATTCCTCATGCTTATCGCGATAACCCTCCTCCCCTGGACCTCCCCTGGAGGGCAACCCACATTCCGTTCGACGCATGACGTGGCGTGCTTATCGGATGCAGTCGGCGGTCCAGCGTTCGGAGCGGAAAGGGGGAGGAAAGGACTGCAGATGGCAGAGGTACATGCGATCGCCCATCGGGTGTCTGACTCGCTGTCAGGGAAGGGGAAGCATGTTAGAGAGGAAACGTAACATCAACAACGTGAGCGCCCCTTGCATGCAACGCGAATGCAAGCAGGCTCGGCAGCCCCAGAAGCGCGATTTGTTCGCCGTTGCATGCAGGCGGTGGCAGGCGGTGGCAGGCGGTGGAAGCGGCTGGATGCGTTGCGAATGCGCGGATGCGAACTCAGAAAGTGAAACGAGGCGCTGCGGGCACCACACTACAGTAGCGGCAGTGGTGCAGACCTGGACGCGGGAGAGAGGCATGGGCGCGGGGTTGCTGTACCGGCTGGAGAGGTGAGAGGCTGAGTGACTTGGCTCGTGATGGTCTCGACTCTGCTCTCGAATGTCTCAGCGAGCGAGCGAAGGGCTCTCTCTCACTCTCACTCTCTCACTCTCTCACTCTCTGCGCAGCAACAGAGACGGGAGCGAAGCGCGATTCCATTTCAAACTCTAAAACCAAAATTGAGGGAGGCGAGTCTTGCCATCCATCCATCCATCCTACGCTTCGCCACGGGAGCGGCGGGAAAGCCGACGTGCATGCAAGTGGCAACGACGCAAATTGATGCCAGATGAGGCCGCCACCGCCGCTAGGCTCGTCATGCTTCGGCGCGGCCGAACGGCGCATTCCTCATCGGCACCTCTCCCGTCTCGCCCGGAGCGGTACCGTTGCTTGGACTGGCGATTCGAATGCGTGGAGCGAGGCCATCGCGTGTATGCACTGCTGCAAAGCCCAGGCCAAGGCGAGCGAGCGAGCAAACGAGCTAAGCTAGACAGCAGCATGCAGGTCTTGCCAGTGCCCAGTGCGCACGCGCCTCGAGCTGGAAGAAGCAGAGGGCCCGTCTTTTCTACTGGGAGCCCAGTCTGGAATTCTGCGCGCCGGTGTGCGTCGAGTGCGTGAGTGGTGCGCCTGTTTTTCTGCGCGAAAGGCCAGTGCGCGGCGCGACTCGACTGAAGGGTCTGGGCTGCCCCTTTGTGAGTGCGAGACTGGAGCTGAAGCTGAAGCTGCAGGCGGCGCTTCTTTCCTGCCATGAGTCGACTTGACGACAAGGCAGCAGCAAAGCGACGGTAGCCTGGCCGCCATTGTTCAATCGCCCTTTTTCTCTTTCCTCGCTCAGTCTGGTCGCGCACCGCACCGCACACCGCACCGCACACCGCGCCGCACACCGCGCCGCTCCGTCCCGGCCTCGCTCTCTCTCTCTGTCGCTCTGTCGCTCTGTCGCTCTGT